ATAACTCAGCTGTGAAATTTCACTCTTGGCTGAAACTTGGCTCAGCAGCAGAGCGGCTGGGAAGGGCTGGACCCGGTGGCTCCAGGTGTGAAAAGTGCTTTTCACAATGAGCTTTTATAACTTGGGAGAAATGGCTCCAATCCCTGCTCTGTGTCTGGCCGTGTGGGCCTCAGTGTGAGCAGTGGAGGGTAAAGCTGCCCACTGGATGCCATCACATCCCACCTGGGGAGAGGCACGTCCTGCCCAGGAGGGGCCAGAGAAACAGCAGAGAACTCCACAGATGCAGCGGGAGCAGCACTTGTAGAGAAAGAAGAAGTCTCCTCAGAAAGGGTCAAAAAGAACTTACACATCCTCAGAGATATAGAAAATCTGGAGGTTGGATAAACACATAAACACCAGTACCATCCCAGTAAAATCCTGGTGGAAATGGGTGAGGGAATGTATGGCTCCTCCTGATCAGGTGGAAATTCCTATCCGAAAGGGTTTCCAAGTCTCTATCACCACAGACTGTGAAACTATGCAAAAACAGCCAAGAAGAACATGCTTATTCCTGCACGGTGAAAATACCCATTGTGTCTTGCCTGTGGCTGGTGGGAAAGGGCCCTGTCATCCCAAAACAGTCCCAGTGCCAGGGACTCACCCCTCAGACCACCTTGCAGGACCCCCCAGAGACACCAAACCGGCACAGTTCTGAAAATCTCAGTAACACTTTTTAATATACAAGAATCAAAAGTACAGCAGTTTTACAATGTAGGAAAATTTCATACATACTATATAAACAACATATTTACATCAGAAATCACTAGGACAGTGGCATTTCTTTCACAAATATAAATTAATATTAATTACTGTTTTTAGTCAACAGGTTTCAAAGTCCGTGTTTTTACAGTAAAAGTCCTTCTCTCCCCAGAGGGAGGCAGAGGTTGGGAGGAAACAGGTGAAAGCAGAATAGGATTTTTGTGTGGATCACAAACCGTTCACGCAAGGACTTCAACGTGCCGTTACGTATCTGTTTTGGTAGGGACCACATCTCCTGTCCCCACGGCAGGAGGTTTTGGTGTGCAGGACTTCCACCACATGAATTCACAACTTTACAGCATTTCCAAAGAGGTCAGGCTGAAAAAGTCTTCATTTTTTAAATAAAAACCCAGCAAGTTGCTTCGTTTTCCTGCAAAGAGGCTACAGGGAATCCTGCAGCCGGTTTGGAAGAAGAGTTGTATCAGATGTTGACACAAACACCGCAGGGAAGTTTCTGGCTGTGGACCTGTCCCCTCCGATCTCATTCATGTCCAAGTGTCTGTTATGGTCCCTGTGCTGAGGGGACATCAAATGTGTGTGTGCGTGTGTGTGTGTGTGTGCTCAGGGAGGACTTTCTCCCAAGTCTTGTTCTCCAGCTTCACTAAAGCCAAACCTAGCAAACACCCACCCACCACGAGTGAACAAAACGATGTGACTTCAGCATCAGGCTAAAGTGACAGCGGGGACAGCTCTCCAGTGGATATGGGTAAAGCTTTTGCTGTTGCACAAGAAGGAAACCCCAACCAACCTCATGCCTTGGACCTGGAATGAGCAGAAACCCCCACATCTGGACACAGAAAATACCTCTTGGTGGGGTTCAAAGTTTTCCTGCACCAACCCTAACACTGGTTGGTCAGTATTGCCTTTTGCTACAGGAGTATGGCACGAACTTCCCACCACAACAGCACCACTTGGTGACAAAAAGAGCAATTCTCTTCGCCCCTCCGAGGTTTCTTCCATTTTCACATTAAAAGCTAATATACCTCTGAAAAGAAAGGACCTCTTTGTTGAATACCACAGCCTGCAATCACAGCTTAGTGGGAAACACTGTGGAAACGTGCTCTCTCCACACCTCCCACTGCCTGGCAGCTCCAAGGGGGTCTGTGGAAGACTTGCCTTCACCTTGCCCTGCACAGGTAAACACAAGTGTAACACTTTCTCAGGGCAGCGAGTGTCCCTAAGGAAACAAAACTGCCCTGCATTTGGTGGAAATCTTACAAAATGAAAACAAAGAGGGAGCAAAACCCTTCCCGTGTGTCCTGTTAAAAGCAGCAGGCTCAGAAGGAGTGTTGGCAGCAAATTTCCAGGGATGCACTGCATGAAGGGAACAGGGGCTATTAGTGTCGGTTTGCATGCGCCTTCCAAGGCACTGGCTGGAGTCAGGAAACCAGCCCTGAACACCCATCTGCCCTCAGCCTTTTGGGGAAAGGACATCACAGCTTATTAGGGTCAAATACTGGCATCTTAACAGGAGGCCCAGCTTCTGTGCCCACCAAAAAGAGGAGTCTGGAACAGCCTGGTCTTTAATACTGAGCTCCAGGAGGTGACCCATCCCCAGAGACCTCTGTGGTCCCCAGCAACCTAGGACCCGAAAAATAATCACCCAAGCTACTTCTGGCCAGCAATCTGTGCACAACCAAGCCCTCTCACCACACCTAGTCCAGGCTGGATGTTGGTTTGCATCATATGCTGTGGCTTGAACACTTAGAGAGTGTTTGCCTTGAAGTCCACTGAGCTGGGCTGCAGACTGCTCTTTTCCCTCTTAAGGGATTTCCGCCAATGATTTTTAGGGACCCAGTCCTGAATTCCTCATTCTCTCCCTGCTCACTGATGTGCTAAGTCCTGAGGCACATTTCCAATTTAGCCAGACAGAAGGTCTGTCAGTGCAGGTGCTTTTAGCAATTCAGAGTCACTGCTGACTGTTGGAAGAGTGGCAGGAAGCTAACCATTCCCTGAACAGTGGTCTGTCCACTGGATTCCTATGGAACTCTGCTCCACCACCCCTTATCCTTCAGTTGCAGTAAAGGTTTGCGATCACTGTTTCATGAAGCACGGAGAGAAATTATTCGCCTGAGCACCAGAGCACTTCAGTGACATGGAGATTAGGAGTTCCAGGATCCCCAGATGCCCAGAGCCATGTTCTGACCTTGCAGCTCCCAGTCAGCATCTGTTAGTTACTGGACCACCCAAGCTGCTCATGCCAGAAGACAGGAGGAGTTTTGTTATGAATTCCTGAGCCCTGCCCACTGGAAAATACTGTTCTCACCCCAATTTCTTTCCTACAATTTCTTTCCTACTGGTTAGAAGTGAACTAAGCCTTTGCCAAGAAGTCCATCTTTTCTTTCACATATCCCAAAGCCCCTCTTCCCTGGAGTCAGGATTTGCCAGTTCCAGCCCTGGAGATGGAAGGAAGATCCCCACACCTCTTCTGTTGCAGAAGATACAACAGCAATCAAAGCAGAGCCAGTTTCTTGAAATGGATAAAGACATGGAAATGATAACATGGCCAGGAAAGCAATGGATTGTCACCAGCACGGCTCCAACTCCTTTGGAGTCACTCTGCAGGGACACTGAGTCCCTGTTTCAACCAAGCTCGGCGGCTGAGGGACTCTCCTGTCCCTCCTTGAATATATCCTTCCATTGCCATATGCTGGTTACACAGAAATCCCAGCCTAACCAGGTTTTCCCCAATCCCAAAGCAGCATCTGTCACATAACGTCAAGTCAGAGCAGGCACAGAGCCTTCCGCACCATCCTAAGCAGCATTGATCTGCCTTCTCCTTCTGAGGAAACACTGGCTGGGGAAAATTCCCTTGGGTCCATTGGACTGAGGAAAACAAAAACAAAACAAAGAACGAGGCAGCAAGGCTGGTTCCATGACAGAACAGTTCAATGGTAAAAAAGGAGAAAGGAAATGGGAATCCAAACCAGAATCAAGAACTAGGGAAAATGTTCCTCCACCCACTCCCCCAAAATCCTCCTTGACCCAGCCAGATGATAGCAGCATGTTCAGAGTTTCTCCTTGCTGGCTCAGAGAAAGCAGCTACCGTCGCATCGATCCAAGTATTTCAGACGTGTGCTTCCCCCTCTCAGCCACTTTATACTTTCCGAATGTTCCAGTTATAATCTGGATTGTTTTTCTGTTCCAATGACCTATCCAGAGGTGACCTGTGATCGAGAGGTGACTTGGAATCGTGTGGGGATTTCTGAGAGGGGGGTGAGCGAGGGTCCGACACTCCGGGGTGAGACGGAGGGAGGGGCTGTTTGTAGTCTCCCAGTTTGTCTGTGTGGAAGGACCGGTAGTGGTCCGAAGGTCCTTGGCCATGGTATCCCATGGGTGGTCTGTGATCAGACATCCGTCGGAAATCCTGCTGGTGGTAGTTCTGAGGCCTGAAGTCATCGGATCGTCGACGTTTGGAATCGTGGTGGTGCCTGTGGAGAGAAAACAAATGGATGGAGATCAGTTCCCCAAGGCCTCCACAGTCAGTGCATCCTTGCAAACTCCCTCCAGCCCGTCCAAGGTGAGAGGGAATTACCTGTCGTAATAGTCTCGGTGGCCTCTGTGGTCTCGGTCGCTGTTGTACTGCTCGTACGGCCTCTTGCGGGAGAGGTTATTTGGTCTGTAGTTCCCAGAGCTCCGGTGAGGATCCCCACGGGATCGCCGGTCCCCGTAGTGGTGGTCCTTGTACCAGTGCTGCTCGTACTGGTGGTGCCGTTCCCCACCCCACATCTGGTTGCTGTTGCCACCATAGTTGAACTTTCGATCCCTCTGCCAGTCTCCTCGGTCTGCAGCGAGCAAAGAGCACCTGTAAGTCTCTCTCACACTTTAAGTCCATTACTTTGCTGAATTCTCAAAGAAATGGTAACTACTGATGCCCCTTTAACTTTCTCCTCCCAAAACTATGTGGGTCCAATTTTATTCTTTCCATTTTTTCATCCTTATTCTAGCAAATCTTACTCTGTCCCATACTTATACTTTTCACTGTATCATCATGTTTCCTAGTCCAGCTATAAGAACAGTGGCAATATATGTTCCATCCCATCACTGGTAAACCTGAGCAGTCCCAAGTCCCAGAAGGATTTGTGTCACAGGTTAGGAGGGATGGTTCCTCCTGGCTTGCCAGAGCTCACCTGTGTTGCTGAAGTGCCTCTTGTTTGGATGGCCATAGTTGTCACGTGGGTGCCCATGCATCTGCTGCTGGGTGTGGGAAGGGGGCATATGGATCTTCTGGGAATGAGGATTGTGAGGCACGTGAGACTGGGACATCACGGAATCGCGGCTGGAGCTTGAAGGCTCTGGGCGGAACGGCTTCTTCATGCTGGACATGTCCTCCTTCTTTTTCTGCTCCTGCGAGGTGGAAGAGAGGGATACAGCTCAGCTGCTCTTCCACCAAAAGAAGCAGACTATGTAAGCAATGGCTTTGTCTCTCAGGCTCTGGATTTTCCTGCCTCTTTGAGGAGTTGGTGAACCAACTGTGCCCAAGCGTGGCACAAATGTGGTGGAGCATGGGCAGAGTCGTGCAGCTCTGCTTCTACACCTTATCTCGACAGGGCAGCACGCCCAGGCTTTTCACTCTAAAGGGCAACTCAACACCATGTGCCACACCAAACAATGCTTTTTCTTGGTCAGAACAGTCAGGACAAAGTGACCAGGAATG